CCACCAGTTCAAACCCACCAGCCACTCCTGGGAAGGAAGGTTGGGCAATCCTACTTCCGTAGTGATACTGCCTCGGAAACCCAAGGAGGGGTCGCTATGAGTCGGGTCCGACTGGAAGGCACATAACAACAACAACAACAACAATGATCCAAGGAGCTCTGGTGGTGCAATGCCTAAGGCATTTAACTGCTAACCAGAAGGTTGGTGGTTCAAATCCACCAGTTGCTCCAAGGAAGGAAGTTGGAGCAATTTCTAGCCCTGGAAATCCAATGGGGATCATTATGAGTCAGAATCTACTCAATGGCAGTGAGTGTGAGGGTTTTTTATGAATGATACTAATACTCACAAGGGGAGCTCTGGTAGCATAGTGCCTAAGGCACTTGACTACTAACCAGAAGGCTGGCAGTTCAAACCCACCAGCCACTCCCCGGAAGGAAGGTTGGGCAATCTACTTCTGTAGTGATACTGCCTCAGAAACCCAAGGAGGGGTCGCTATGAGTCAGGTTTGACTGCATGGCACATAACAACAACAACAACAATGCTCACCAGAAATTTACAGCGGGGAAGGAAGGATGGAGAGAAGGGACTTTTACTGAATAGAGTTCTTGGCAGTCTGGCACCCAGGCAGAGTAGCAGAGCAATGTGAGACAGAGACCAGCAGGAATTGAGGGTATGAGTTTTGGGGTGAAGGAGCTCTGGTGGTGTAGTGCCTAAGGCCAAGAGGTTGGCGGTTCAAACCCACCAGCCACTCCTCAGAAGGAAGGCTGGATAATCTACTTCTGTAAAGATTTACCACCTTGGAAACCCAAAGGGGGTCACCATGAGTCAGAATCATCGACTAGATGGCAGTGAGTTTGAATATTTTATTATTATATTATTATTATTATTAGGTGGGGGTGAGCCATAGAGGGGCAGAAGGGATCAATGAGGGCACCCCACCTAACCCTCTGTTCCCAGAAGACTTCATCAAACTCTCTCCAGTCCACTCTCTCCCCACTACTGCTAGTAGTACAGTTTAGACCAGTGGGGAATGGTTTTGCCATCTTTCCACGGAGATCATAAAATGCACCCAGTACTGGGTTTGTAGCTTCTTTATTATGCTAAATGAACAAGGACAGCCAGTGCTGACTGTAAACTCTCTTTTCCTGGTGGTCCCAGGCTGAGCTCTAGCACAGGGGCTGATGGGTGTTCAGAAGAGCAGGACTGGGCAAAGAAAAGCTCTCCCTAGCCTCCAGGAATTTGGCTTACTCAATTATTTTCATATGCATTTTTTTTTAATTGGGAGAAAAGTGTCGACTCAGAAAGACCACTGAATACCTGTCACTCAAAATGCCCCCACTTTGATCCTTCCAGTGCCAAGCTGTATTTACTCGCCAGAGATGCCCCAGGCCAGAGGCCCTCCAGCCTGGCGCTGCCACGAGAGCTGCTCCAGCACCCAGCGCAGCTCAGGTCTCCTGAGCCAAAGGAGACACTGAAATGATAGCTTGTTCTGCTTGTACTGCTGCATTTTTAAGAACTGATACACTAGAATGAATGGATTATGAGTAAATAAAAAGAAGCTGTCAGTCTCTTTGAAGGTTGTGTTTAAAGGGACTTGCCAAGTCGGGACAGAAGAGTGACAAGATAGAGACCCTGGTGTTTTCCATGCTCAGCCCAGCTCTTCCGCTTCATCTGCACAGCACTAAAGGATGTGTTGAAGCATTGAATCGCAAAAAAAAAAAAAAAAAAAAAAGTGGCACGCAAAATAAAAGGTGCCACATCACAATGATTGCAGTGTTTTAACTGCGGAGTGCCACATTACCAAATCCAAATTGAAACGCAGGTCTACATAGCTGGAGAAAACCGTACAATACTTCCATAACTTATAATTAGGTTGAAATCTGCCTAACATTTGACTTTCTAATGAGTGTAATGAGATTACATGCCTGATAGAAACATTTGTGCAAAAACAACTTTTGTGTTTAATGAGACCCTAGTGCGATGGCACAGTGGTTAAAGCGCTGGGTTGCCAACCAAAAGGTCTACTGTTCCAACTCCGATAAAGATAAGACAGTCTGTTTCCTTACAGATTTACAGCTTTGCAAACCCTATGGGGCACTCTACTCTGTCCTACAGAGTCGCTCCGACTATGAGTCGGAATCTACTTGTCAGGCTGTGCTTTTAATATAGAACAAAATCAAATTATTTTTCTCTGGTTCCCAAATCCTATTCCCAGTGTGAAATTTCCTTCTTTTAGCGGGAGTGGCAAGGAGAGGCCTGTAGCCTGAAAGGGTGACATGATCCATGGCCAAGGGCCTCCTGGGAGCTTCACGACCCAGAATCTCCGCGTGTCTGACCAGGCCGCGCTCCAGGGCCTGCCTCTGGCCTCGCTTTAATTGCTGTTGGATGACGTCCATGACACCCGTGGCGCTCGGGGAAGCCCCCTTAGTGGGTCTGAAACTAGGTTAAAGCAATTAAGCATGCTGCCGACATGTTGTCCTTAGTAAGGCCGTGGGTTTTGGGGGCGATTCGTGCTTGCACCTTGGGTGACCAGGTCTTTGGCCGGCCGCCAAGCAGCAAGCACCTCGTTTTGGCCAGTTCTGCATCTGGCTGAGACCGAAGGATTGATTCCAGGAGAAAGTGCTCACCTGCAGCGCGGCCCGCGGCGCGTCGGAGCGCGCGCTGAACCTCGTCGTCAGCTGCCGCGCGCCCCTGCTGTGGTGGGCAGGCGAGGGCACCTCGAGGGGCTGGGGAGCCACGCCGGTAACCAGGAGAAGCCAAACTGGAACCCAGGTTTGCTGGGCCTTTTGACGGAGCGATCCCGACCGCTCCCTAACGCCTCTCCCCCTCGCTAGGGGGCGGCCCTGCGCTCTACGCGGGAGACTCGCCTTCTGCCAAGGCTGCTTGCTAAGAAGGACGAGATTCTGTTGGAAGCTAAATCAAGTCAGTTTTCGAAATAAATCAGTTGTAGAAGTGGCGGGGGGGGGGGCCAAGCAGACTCCTAGCCTTACCTAAAAGACCCTGAACTTTGATTGAGGGCATCTGAGTGGTTTCTCGTCTGCAGCACTGTCGTTTGAGAGAAATACAACTGAGTTCTAAGTACCTGATGCCTTAACTACAGAAGGGTTGGGTCACTGGGAAGCTCGAGAACAGCGCGGGGAAGCAGAAAGGCCCCTTCCCTTGATCAGCTCAGAAACTAGCCTCATGCTCCCGAGACAGAGCTTTCACTTTACACACTAGGTAAAGGCAGAGTGGGGTGCCCTTAGGTAATCAAACATCATCTCTTAGACTTGGGTTTCTCCTCTAGGAAATGAGAATAAAATATTTCGTGATCTATTTTCCTCATTTAGTGTTTGGAGGGTGAGATAAAAATACAGCCAAAAATCCTTAAGTGCAACTGAAGGGTGCTGTTGGAGAGTTGAGGCCTAAACTTTTTATCCACCCCCTTTCAGGCTAAAACTAACTAAAATATGATATCTTACTAAGTAGCTAAGGTTGGAGTCTTATTCGGTTAATATTCACAAAGTAAATCAATGCTTTTTGAAGACACAGTTACCATCATCATGTATTAAACAAGTAAGTTTTAGAAAAAAGTGTAAATAGCATTTATTAACAAGACTTAGTATCATATCTGGCAATAAATTAGCATGATGTTTTCAGGCAGAGGTCTTCCAACAATGCAGAGTTCTGCCAAAGGTGCTGTGGAATCACAGGCTATTGCATATTTTTAGAAAATCAGGATAAATTATATAAATTATATACTTAAAAACATAATCTATTTCATTAACTCAACAGAATAATAAATAGATAAATAACAAACAGTTGATTGCCATTAGAAAAAAAACTGATTCTTAAATTACATTTTCATCATATTCACATGTACAATATGCACAGACACGTAACCAGATCTTCAGCCAAATCCGGGATTTATCAGGACACAAACTCAAAGGGGGGTTCATTTTCTATGTCGTTGAGGGAAGATTTGCTGTTGAGTTTTCGGGGGTCCTCTGGGGTCCACACTTTGGCTGTTCGGATAATATTTTGTTCTTTAAGCTGTTTTTCATCTGTCCATGAAAGCGAGTGTCCTGCAAGGGGAGGGAGGCCATAATCTGGGTCGCTGGGGGAGGGGGACCCTGGGGAAGTGAGGAAAAAAGAAAACAGACTGTGAAGGTCCAATCACATTCCCAGTGGCCCCATCCAGTCTTTCAGGATCCCCTCCTAGGCACCTCGACTGAACAGGCTTCTTTCTTAACGTTATGCCCCCACCCCTCTTCCTCTACCCCTCAAACTCCCAGCACCCGGTCCCGGGATTCCTAAGAGTTGTAAGACTGGCGGACAAGCGCCCTTCAAGCCACAGTCAAAGTAGCAGGAAAACCTGAGAAACGTGAGCTCGCGCTCAAGATTGCCCTTGCCCACGGACCAACCGTCGGTCCGTCCGTCAGTTGGCTCCTCAATCTTTTCACCCAGCCCCTTGGGGCCGTCCCATGACCGTCCCCGCCTCCCTGAGCTGGGCTACGGAGGCACTTACGAGTCCCCCGATGGCAGATGATGACCTTTTGAGCCTGACTGCCCCGGCTGTCTCCGCCCAGGCGGCCGCCGCCGCCAGGACCCCCGCAGCCGCCCGCGCCGCCGCCGCGCAGTGGCAGGTCGGCCTGCACGAGCTCGCTGAGGAAGTTAATGTAGCCGATGGCCAGGCGCAGCGTGTCCACCTTGGAAAGGCGTTTCTCATAGGGCAGCGTGGGGATGTGCGAGCGCAGCCCCTCGAAGGCATCGTTGATGGACTGCATGCGTCGCCGCTCGCGCACATTGGCCGCTTGTCTCAGCTGCTGTAGCTCCGCCTCAGAGCGCACTCGCCGCCGCCGCCGTGCGGCGGCCGCCGCCGCCCCACTCAGGCCACGCAGCCTAGACGCAGGGGACAAGACAGCCGCCCCGGCGCACGGATAGGCCAGGCACGAGGGCGGGGAGCCAGGTGAGAAGGGGAAGCCGCCGGGGGGCGCCCCCGCCTCGCAGCAGTAGCCACCGCGGTCCTCCAGCTCCCCGGAGCCCCCAGAGGGCAACGGGGCTAGAGCGTGCGGGGCCGCAGAGGGCGCGGACTGCAGTAGCAGGCACGCCCCGTCGCGGTAGCAGTACTCGTGGAGCTGGTGGCTGAGGAACTCCACCTCGGCCTGCTCGTCCGCCAGCAGCTCATCTCCGTCCTCCAGAGGGTCCCGAGAGGACTGGTCAGTGAAGAAGTCCTCCTCGTCGAAATAGGGAGACGGGAAGGTGTCCAGACCCCCGGGAAAGTGCTCTAGCAGCACTGCGTCCATGCTCTCCGCAGCCGTGGGTTTGAGGTACTTATTGCCTGAGGTAATTCTTTTAAATTTTTATTTCTCGGTTCTTGCTTTTCTGGCACCCCCTCCTTCCCAAGTCCTGCGCTGGAGGGAGTGAGGTCTGCACTCTCAGCTGGCCGCCCCAAGACCTCCCTGGAGTGCCAGCGGCCGCAAAGCTCTGTCCCGCTCTGGGGAGGGCTGTCGCAGACTAGCTGGAGCTGAGGGCCGGCACGCGAGGATTCTTATAACTACATCCACAGGCGCGTGCCAGGGACCCGCCGCGCCAGCCAATCACAGTGTGTGAGGTGCCAGCGGGGGGGGGGGGAGAGGCCTGGCAGGCGGAGGTGGGGGGGCGCTTTCCTCTCTTTGGGCGCTCCGGGGTAGAAGAGGCGGGGCCCGCGCGGCTCATGGGCTCCAACTTCTCCTCTTTCACAGTCCTTCCAGCGCCTTTTTGTACCTGCCCACTGTGCAGCTTCAGGGACACCTGCAGCCTGAGGGGTCAGTACCCCGCCCGCGCGCGCTGCGGAGGGCGGCCCTTTCCCGCGCTTGGGTCTGGGCAGCCGCACTCGCTGTTTTCTGCGCAGCCACCGAAGGTCTTAGGGATGCTTCCAGATTACCTCTAATGGCCGAGGGTTGATTACCCACCGAGCTCTCTACTTCCGAGTTGGCGCATAAATCGCCCTCAGGCTGAGCTGTTCCGGGACGACTGCAGTAAAGTGAAGGTTTAGAGCATTTCTGCACCCCTGTCCCCCGGGCGCGCGCAGTATTGGATTTTGGTAGGGGATTTTATCGCGTTACTGGACCTTTCAAAGATTCTTGCAAGGTTTGCAGAGTGAGTGCGGGTGGTGTGGGAAGTTGCTTCTGTCTAGCTCCAAAGGCGTTCTAGACGCTGCGCTGGGCCTAGAGGCTCGCCTGCGGGACGCCACTCTTCATGAAGCCAGACTCGGGTGCCAGGTCCCTGCCCCGGAGAGACATTGTCCCCTCCCCCGGAAAAAGAAATGGGGAAAGAGGAGGGGCTGCCTCTGAGAGCAGCTCAGTGGGGCACGTTTCTTCTGAGAGCAAATAAGACCCTAGGGGTTCTGAGCAATAAAACCCGATACAAAAGAAGTCAATTGAATCTACTGCTCCGGAGCAGTCCGGTGGGAGGGCATTGAGGTTAAAGGGCAGAGTGTGAACCGTTTTCAAAGACTGAGTTTCTCACCTTTCTGACTGGCCACCGGGACCATCCGTGAATGCGTTTTCCTTCGTCAACCTTTAAAAAAAAAAGAAAAAGAAAAGAAACACATAAGCTCATGTGCTTTGCCCCATGACATACTTGATCACAGACTGTACATCTGAACACTTTCAAGGTAAGGGCAATCCTGTTAGAAGCAAAGCTACAGCTTTCACCCCGGGATAGTTAAGAAGTGCATATTCCTTCAACAGGAGACAAGAGTAGTCATCTTTCTGTAGCAGCTGCTTCCTTTTTCAGACACCTGTCCCACCAGAGGTTCTACTGGGTATTCAGACTTTTTTCCAAATCCAAATCCATTCCTCTTAAAAAGAGTGATTTAAATCCATTCCTTATTCTTAGACATTACATTGTATTTAATTGAATTCTACCACCAAAAAGTTAACCAAAACAAAACAAAACAAAAAAACCAAACTCACTGTCTTTTAGTCAGATCCGACTCAGTCTCCTCCTTGAGTTTCCCAGGCAGTATCACTACAGAAGTCGATTACCCAACCTTCCTTCCAAGGAGTGGTTGGTGGGTTTGAACCTCCAGCCTTCTGGTTGGCAGTCAAATGCCTTAGGGGACTAAGCCAGCAGAGCTCCTCACCCTAACTGAAATGGTCAAAAAGTCCAGACAATTTTAACCCAGAGACTTAACTGTTTTTTTTATCAAGTTCTTTCATGTGTTACTTTCTTAATCTGTGCTCCCTTCCTAGTGAGGTAATTATCCTTAAACTGATGCAAATGGGGGCTGGTTCCCTGGGACAGAGTCTGAGCTGTCATTCCTGCGTTTAGATTTATCTTTGTCATCTCAAAGGGAGGGAAGCTGTTGTGGGGTATCATGACCATGGATCTAGCCAGCTGCTGGTATGCATCCAAGTCTCTCTTCATTTTAAAGGCCCCTATCCCCTCCCCTCATTTGATTAGACTAAAACCTAATACAACTGTACTTTTGGATTAATCTATGGATTTGTAGGATTAACAAATGACTAGATTTCAAAGCCTTATCCAAAATACTGATAACCATTGACCAATGATATGACTGGATATGAGCCTACAAAAAAGACTCTTGCAAAAGGTCAAGAAGCCTTCTCTGATGGATCTAGATTTTTGAAATAGTATATTCGTGTCACAGATGTGTTGCAGGAAGCAGAGGGTCATGGGAGTTGGTGAGTGTGTTTATCATTATCTTCATGATGTTGTTGTTGTTATGTGCTGTCAAGTCGCCCCGACTCATAGCGACCCCTCCTTGGGTTTCCGAGGCAGTATCACTACGGAAGTAGGATTGCCCAACCTTCCTTCCGAGGAATGGCTGGTGGGTTTGAACCTCCAGCCTTCTGGTTAGCAGTCAAGTGCTTTAGCCACTATGCTACCAGCATATTTTAGTACTATGTTTTAAAAAAA